GGGAAAGAGGAGATGCAGGAGAATGGAATTAAGGATGAAGAGAAGGGATTACACCCCAACTACTAGGTTTTGATTGTAAAATTGATGAGAATTATGAGTCTCAGAAAGCATATTTGAAGACTGAAATTTTTGAATGAAAAATTAGTTTCATCTGGAATAGTTGTGCGGCCAGCCAGTGAAACTTCATAATGTCATATAGTTGCAATTCCCAGAGTCTAATAATAGAATTCCTAACGATTAGTGAGTCCTTTAGCCAAGACACTTTTACCAGCAATTGCTAGAGAACCATAGTTGTTGCTTTGTTTGTTTGGTAAGTGATTAGTGAGAATAAATGTGTAATGTAAATAAATTAACCATGCTTATTGGCTGGGAAAATGTAGGTGATGTAAACAGTGTTAATGTAACTGATCATAATAGCTGGATAGATTCACATATTTCCATTTTGTTGTAAAAGATGCCAAGGGGTAGAGCAGGATGCTGGTGCCTTTTCAGTCATGAGAGGGATTATTTAGTGATATTTAGAATTAGGTTTTGTCACCATTCTGCTGTGAAAAAATTTATCTTCTTCTTCTAGGACTATTTTTAAATATTTTTAAAAATAAAAATCCAATAAAGCCACAACTTGAACTTCATGTTGTAAACTAGTACTTATATTCAGAATATATCTTCTCCCAATGATTCTTTGTCTGTGCTTGGCAAAAATAAAGACCTTGCACACACCCCTGCCTGAAGGTTCTAGTGGTCCATACAGAAGGGCTGATTTTTACTTTTTCATTTCTACCAATATTGAAAATATTCGGAATGGTTAGAAAATACTAGTTTGCAGATGTTTACAAGGTAAATAGACAGCAGCACCTTTTCGAATTTGGGATAATCAGAAGGTTTATATAGTGTAGGTGTATTGACTTAAGTACTGATGAACTTTATATGAACACTTCATTTATTTACTATAATTGATAATGTAGCATTTTCTGTTACATTATTTTTCTTAAGGTCTGGGATAAAAGAAGAGAAATCAAAGGGATATTCCGATGAAGTAAGTTCAGAAAACAGAACACCTCATGAGAACTGCATTCCCCAAACTGTTGTGAAAGTAGAGGAAAACCCAGATGCAGACAGTGACTTTGATGCTAAGAGCAGTGAGGATGATGAAATGGAAGAAGATAATAAAGTGAACTGCAGAAGGGAAAAGGGCACAGAGACCTTAAAAAATGACCCCAGGCATCACAGGAGTCATACCCACTCACGATCATCTAGTGAAGAAAGAGAGCATGGTACCAAATACCACACAAAAAGTTCCAAGTCAAGAGGACATGAGAAAAGGGAAGATCAGCACCAAGAGAGACAATCCAGGGAGGACAGCTATTACACTGACCGTGATTACCAAAAAGAAAAGAAGGATTCCCATAGGCACAGAGAGGCCAGTTACAGAGATTCACACTGGAAGAGGCATGAACAAGAAGATAGACTGAGGGGAAGAGACCAGAGAGAAAGAAATGATAGGGAATGGAAAAGGGAGAAAGACAGGGAGAAATACCCCTCAAGAGAACAAGAAAGAGACAGACAACGAAATGATTATGACCGACACATTGAGAAAGGAGGAGAGAAGGAAGAGAAAAGCAAAGAAAAGGAAGAGCATATGAAAGCAAGGAAAGAAAGATATGAAAACAGTGATAAATACAGAGATAGAGAAAACCGAGAAGTAAGTGTTCAATCTTCAGGAAAAAATCAAGAAAGAAAGGAAAGCCCAAATTCTAGGGCAAAGGATAGGTTTCTTAACCAGGAAAGAGCCAGTAAAATGAGAAACATGGAAAAGGACAAAGAAAGAAACCCAGAGAAACCCTCTAGTTCTGAAACATCACTGGGAGCAAAACACAGATTCACAGAGAAATGCCAAGGGACTGGCAAAGAACAAGAGAGGCCACACGAGACAGTGAACAAGTTTGCAAAGCGGAGCAACGAAGAAACTGTAATGTCAGCGAGAGACAGATACTTGGCCCGGCAAATGGCACGCGTTAATGCAAAGACATATATTGAGAAAGAAGATGATTGATAACTGCCCCAATAGGAAGACCTATGGAAGCACAGAAAATTATAATTCCTGGAAAATGTTGAGTGAACACATAAAGGAGTGTGTTAACAGTGTTTGGGAGGGTATTTTAAAATATATTTTCAAAATTCATTTTTGGTTTAAGTCAGAAGTCAGTCCTTTATCTTGAATGTTTAACTAAATTAATATATAATATTTACTTATCAATACCACATTCTTGGTTGTATTCAAGCAACCTGAAGAGAGTGCTGAATCCCTGTAGGTACTTAGTGAGGAAAATTGGCTCCACGACAACCATTAAAAAATAATTTAAATAACTCTTCTATGTTGCATTTGTTGCAGGAGCTGTTTGTTTTATAAATGTCATGTTCCAGATAAAAATATGTGGATTTGAACAGAGAATATTGTTTTACTTTATGTTCTAAAATTTGTATTAAAGTGTAAAATACAGATCACACATCTCGTCTAAGCTTTTTAGCCCACAACATACTTAAATGAAAATAAAAATAGTGATATATTTGTACGTTTAATTGATGCTTATATTTTATTTTAAAAATAATATTCCTGTCATGCTGTAGTTCCTCTTTTTTAAATTAAAAATCACTTTAATTCTGAAACCCTAGCAAGTTAGTAAATTGGTTATGTGTATAAATCAGTTATAGCTGAGGGTGAAAAGATGGAGATACTCAGCCTAAAGAAATTACCTAAAGATCCAGGTGGCCTGTTTATGAACATGTCTTGTTTAATATACTCTAAAAAATACAGTACATCTTATTAGAGTTTCTATTTATATATCAAAATAAAACTAAAATTTCTGTACTAAGTCTTTGAAACTTAACCATTTGAAGTTATAAACTGTAAATAATTTATTCATGTGAAAAGGATGAATCATACGGAGAAAACAGTTCTCTTAACAGTCTTCCCATTAAGAAAGTGCTATTTTTATCTCTCATACTTCATGAAGAGTTACCACATTGTCTTATTTTAGAAAGATAAACGTAGTTTAGTAAGAATATTGTCTTTAAGAAAAAATATATAAAAGATCAAATTTAGCATTCATAAATCATTTTGTTATACTTTTTAAACCAGAAAGGAAAAGTAGCAAGAAAGCTAGTGCCTGTATCTTTTGACTGACATATTAAATATCAGTTACACCCTAATAATTTAAAATATATCAGTGACAGTGACAAACACTTCAAAAGCACTGACTTTGTGTACACAGAGGGGTGTAGTATAATGTAACTGTGAAAGAGTTAGGGTGAGATCATGGAAGACCATGAGTGACAGGCTAAAAATCTTCAACTTTGGTGGAGAATTGGATTCCTTTGTTAGGGTTGTCATACTAAAGCCATATATTGGGAAGATTTCATTTGACTATAGTATGCAAGATAAAGCCTAGGAGAAAGAGACTGGAGGTGGAGAGATCTGATAAGAAACTGTTGATTTCCCTCTCCCAGTAATTCAGAGACTCAAAGGAACATGGATGGTTTAGATAGGAAAAGTTACATATTTAAAAAACAAAATTATTTAAGTGTAATTGATTTATATTATTGTGTTTCAGGTATATAGCATAGTGATTCAGTTTTTTTTTTTTTATATTCTATTATAGGTTATTAGAAGATACTGAATGTAATTCCCTGTGCTATATAGTAAAGCCTTGTTGCTTATTTATTTTATGTACAGTAGTTTGTATCTGTTAATCCCATACTCTTAATTTGTCCCTCCTGTCCTCCCTCTCCCCTTTGGAAACGATAAGCTTGTTTTCTAGGTCTATGAGTCTTTCTGTTTTGTATGTAGATTAATTTGAATTATTTTTTAGAGTCTACATATAAGTGATACAGTATTTGTCTTTCTCTGACTTCACTAAGCATGTTCTTCTCTTGGTCCACCCATGTTGCTGCAAATGGCAATATTTCTTTTTTATGGCTGAGTAATATTCCACTGTGTATATATACCACATCTTCTTAAGCCAGCCTGTTGATGGGCACTTGAGTTGTTTCCATGGCTATTGTAAATAGTGTTATGAACATTGGGGTGCATGTATCTTTTCCAAGTAGAGTTTTTGTTTTTTTCTGGATATATACCCAGGAGTGGGATTGCTGGATCATGTGATAGCTCTGTTACATAATACTTTTATTAACCAAGTTTGACATAACTCAGGGAGAAACTGCAAATTAAGGATTTCTTCTCTCTCCTTCCCCAGATGTACAGATGTTTTTGCCTCTTTGGCATTCACTCCCCCATTTCTGAGAATAGTGCATTGATTTTCACTTGGGAAAGTACTCTTCACTACTCTTAGTCCAGTGTTTCAAATGGGGCTGAAAGAGCTCCAGGAAGGTATGTTACTCAAGATAGGCCAATTCTGAGACTTGTCATAACTTAAAGTGATGCTTTCCAGTAGAATTCTGGACTGTGAAGATGAAGTAATTCCAGAGTTAAATGGGAAAATGAGTGCCTGACTGCCTGACAGAATAAAGCCCACACAAAAGAAAACAGAAATGAGAGGTGAAAAGGACAAAGATCTGATGGTTGCTTTTGAAACTTTGGCTCTAGTAGATCATATTTTGATATTTAAACCAGTATTTTTCTCTTGGGCTGATTGGATTTGGATTTCTACCAAAAAAGCCCTATTTGACACAAAAAGGTTCCACCTCTGGTAAGTCTGCCAGAAATCACCAGAATATTCTGAGTACGCTTTTAAAAATTGTAGGATAACAAACATAAAGAAAAGTCCATATATCATGAGTACATAGTTTAATGGATTTACAGTGAACATACCCAGTTCAAAAAGAGACCATTACCTGCCCCACAGAAGCTCCCCCCAAACCATTTCCCAGCGTACTCCCTGCCTTTAACACCATAGATTAATTTTGCTTGTTTTCTTGATTGTATAATATTTATCCATCTACTGTTGATGGCCATTGAGTTATTTCCATTTGGGGGTTATTATGAATAATGCTTCTAGGAACATTCTTACATTTGTCTTCTAGTATGTACATATATATGTTTTGATTGGGTAGGTCCTAGGAATGGAATTGCTGATCCATAGGGTAAGTATATGTTCATAATAATAGATAATGTCAGTTTTCCAAAATAAACTCCAATGTATGAGAGTTACAGTTGCTTCACATTCTTGCTTACACTTGTAATTGTTTAACCTTTGTCTTTTTGTCTTTTAATTTGAGCCGTTCTGGTGGGCGTGATGGTATCTCATGGTTTTATTTCGGGGTTCCCTGATGACTTACATATTTATTAGCATTTTGATATCATTTTTGAAGTATCTGTTAATTTTGCCTATTGTTTTTTAATTTATTTATTTTTGGCTGCGCTGGGTCTTTGTTGCTGCGTGTAGGCTTTCTCTAGCTGCGGCGAGTGGGGGCTACTCTTCGTTGTGTTGCGCGGGGTTCTCATTGCAGTGGCTTCTCTTGTTGCAGAGCATGGGCTCTATGCGCGGGCATCAGTAGTTGTGGCGCACGGACTTAGTTGCTGTGCAGCCTGTGGGATCTTCCTGGACCAGGGCTTGAACCCGTGTCCCCTGCATTGGCAGGCGGATTCTTAACCACTGTGCCACCAGGGAAGTCCTGCCTAAT